TCACACTCAACTCCATCTCCTTTTTTTTTTTTTGTTGCTGGCTTTCTTTCCTTTTATGTATTGCGTGGACGAAAAGCATCTCCACAGCTGTAGGGAATAGGTACTTTGAGGAAGCTTGATAGGCTGTTGTTCTTCTTTTTTGGGTGTGGGGAGCCCTGTGGGACTGTCCGGGCTGCACGTCTCCTCACACTTGCCGTTTCTCCGCCCTGGGGGTAGTTGCACTGCGTGCGTCATGAGCACAACAACCGAGCACGAAGCCCTCGCGAACGGGCGGGAAGGTGGCGGAGCCGCGTCATCGGCGAGTTCCTCGGCCCACTCCTGTGGAGGGTGGAATTCTACAGGCGATGAGTCCCATTGCTTCATGCGTCCAGAGAGTCCAGACGGTGCAAGAGGAGGTGTGCGGCCTTCCGCCCACTACGGCGCCAGGTTAAGCAACATGGGCAAGAGGCTCCTCGCCGGTAGAGCCAAAACGGCCGTGCGGGGGTCTCCGTATGTGAATGTAGGCCTCAATCAGGCGCTTGGGGAGAAACAGGGAGAAGGCAAAGAGGAGCACGGGGAAGAAGTTTACTGCAACCCTAAGGCACCCTTGCGGGCACGACCACCGGACGTGCAACGTTACCGGCAAGCGTATTCGGCGAGATATGGTCGTTCCGCTGAAGGCAAGCTGATAGAAGTAAATGAACCCAGAACGCCACCCCACGGTGCCGCTTTCCCACGACATCTGAGTGGCCCATGCTGTAGCGGAAGGCCACATCTCGCCATGGTTTCTTGCAGCGGCGACAATCGGGGAGGAGTTAACCGTGCTGAAGCTATTAGACATTACGGCTCCACCGCGCGCCGCGGTGAGGGAGTAGCACAGGTAGACCCCTTTACGATGAGCGCGGAAACCCTCGGCTCAACCCCAGAACTCTCGCCGCCATGGAGCATGGGCGTGCACATCGAGACGCCGACGGAGGCCGTGCATCCAAATGCGCCCCAACGCCCACGGCCGGACACGGTGGAGATTGCTCCGGATGTCCCGGTGTGTGTCGCACTGCCCCTTTTGTCCTGCCCTCGGCAAAACTCTATTCTTCGTGGGCAGACCCATGATTACGGCGTACTGCTGCATGAAGACAAGGAACGCTCTCAGGGGGGGAAGGACCCCTCACAACAATTGGTTTCCTCCTCCACGGCACCGCAACTCTCCATGAAGGACACCGAGGATGATTCGGTGGGGGATCCGTCCCCTACGACGCTGCCGTCGCTGTCAAAGGCAGTCATTGCATGGTCCGCCAACATCAATAAAACGGAAACGCAAATGCAAGGCCTAACTGCGGGAAGGGGCTCGCCCACATGCCTCTCAGGAATGAGGCAAGGAACACCGCTGACTTTGCATGAGGTCACGGAGGAAATCGCTACCGAAGAGGCGGAAAGGGTTGCGTCAGGAAGCCGGATGTCAGGCACCTCGGAGGAGAAGACCCCAAACTTGTGTATATTGTCGAGTGCTATCTGGAGCCGACGTAGAAGTGAGCTTCGCGGTGAATTGATTTCCACAGAGGAACGCCCGCAGAAAAAAAAGCGTAAGGGATCCCGGTGGGCCAAGTCTTTGCTGCGAAGGGCGTTAGCCTTCCCAGTCATGGAGAAGAGTGATGGTAATGGTGGTGGCGGCGGTGGTGGTAGTGTTGTTGGTAGTATAAGTACGTCGCATACTCTCACTGGCAATTGTGTTGATAATAAAAACATTGATGGTAATTTCATTCTACCACAACCGCCGCGAACCTCGCTGCTTGCGTACAACTTGGGGCATGGGATGGAGACGAGGCCCTCTGTGCGTGCTCTGCCCTCCACATCGCGGAGGTCGTCGGCGATGCAGCAGAACCCGGACCCCTCGTTGGCGTCGAGCAACATGCTCTTCTTTAGCCCCTCTGGTCGGAGAAGGTACGACGCCGCCGCATTCAAATCCGTCCTCTCCACCCCAAGCAACCATCCCCCGGGGGTGGATCCCGCAGGCGCCAGGGCGATGTCCCGCCGCTCGACCCGGACGAGTCGGGATTGGGTATCTTCTGGCGCCAACGACGCTGCTCCCAGTGGACGGGGTAACAGCTCTGACGACGGTGGAGAGGCGCGGCGTGCCGCGAAGAGCCAGGAGCCAAGGCTCCCAAGAGACCCTTCCTTGCGCAGTGACCTTCGAAGCGACTCCGTATGCACCACGCGAGATTTCATACCACTGAGACCTTTCACAAATTCGCACTCCGGCAACAGCACGACAGGCAGCATATATTCAATGGTACCGGCCGAGGATTCTGATAGTGAGAGGTTTAGTATGGCGTCCTTCACATGGTAGGATGTAGGATGAAAATTAGGATATTATCAAAAGGGGACGGGATGGTAAGCAATCATATATTTGCAACGCTGACAATACATTAGACAGTAGACTTTGCTCCGCCCCACAAGCGTCAGTTCGACCCGTGAGACGCCTGACTTTCACGATGGTGACATCAAGGAGAAAGCAGGAGAAAGGAAAATTTTGTCTGCCATTGTGTTGCGGGAACTACTAATGACCATGTCGGTCCTTTTTTTTTTCTTTTTTTCTTTTTTTCTTCTTCCTCCCTACATTTCCTTCACACACATATATACAAACACGCCCATGCCGTGATGCAAAAAGGCGGCGAGTGTGTAATGCTGTCGGAGGTGGAAACGAACCTCAAGCAAACAAGCAATAAAATGTACAGAATGGCGATGAGAATGATAAAGGATGGAGATGTGGGGGATGCCCGTGCCACAGTGAAAGGTGGCGTCGCTTTCCTACCATGTTTAATATATATATATATATATTCTTCTTTCCCACCCTTTTCGGTATTCTCAGCTGCCGTCGTCTATTGTCGTTGCCGTTGTTTGGTCCCTTCTTTTCTTTCCTTTTCTCCTCCCCACCCCACTTTTTTAATATTATTGTTTTCCCTATTCTCCTGTTTCGTCCGTCAAACACATATATATATATATATATGTATACATATATTTACGATGGTTTCACCCCTCTCCAAACACTCTTTGTTCTTGTTGTTGTTGTTTTTTCTTTCTTTCTTCTCCTTCGGTTGCTCTCTCTCTCTCCCTCGGCGATGGTCATGCTGATTGCATTTTTGTCCCTGACCTTGCCGCTGTTCTCATTTCTACTTCCCCGCCGTGTGTGCCTCTTCATTGTTTTTCAGTGTGTGTATCAAACTGCCCTCCCCCTCCCCCTCTTTGTCTTCCCCGCCGCGGAGTTTAACGGTTTTGCTTCGCTGCCCGAGAGCAGGCGAAATAAAAAAATGAAAAGGTGGGGTGGGGGTGAAGCGCATTTACGCCTCCCCGCCTATAACTCTGCCGAGCAAAGTTCGCTGATGAAGAGACGCGCCTGTGCACAATGAAGGCCCTTGTGCGGTGGGGGCCTGCAAACTCACGGCTGCGGGGGTGACAGACGGATGGGGATGCGCGTGTCCCCCGGAGCACCTGACTGCCTTTCATAAGCGTCAGCCCGACCCCCCGGTCGGGTCGTGCGGAAAGCTGGTGTTTCCCGCCTCTGATGTTCGGGGTGATGGAATGTTTGGGCACGCAGCGACGCGCCAGCCCGCGGGCCGCAGCATTGAACAGCACCAGACCCACAGTTGTGGCAAACACCACGAATGAGCCGGCGGACCCCTCATTTTCCAATTGCAACGGGGCACCTGCAGCTACTGCAGGCGTACGGTATACTCGCATCTGTTCGCGCACTGGCGGGCGCCAGGGTTTTTGCCAGCCAGACTGGCAGGGGCGCAACTCCCGCACTTGTGCCTACAGGAACCCTCCTTGCCCCGGTGAGGACTTCCAGAATGGAGGCGATTTCCAGCTTTAGTCTTTTTTCCGTTTCTTTTTTTTTTTTGCTGTCACTGCCTGCGCAGTTGCCAGTCGGCAGAGGGGAAACAACAAGGGCTGGCCAACAAGCACCTGTTCCCCAAACTATGTCTGCGGTAAGCAAGGCAGTTCGAGATGTCAACTGTCGGATGCGCCGATCGGCCCATGCTGCGTGAGGGAGATGCTCATAAAACTCGCCCCCGTCAGTAAAAATGGAGTATCGCGCAATTGCCCCAGTGGGTGGCGGCGTCCGCGGGCGCCTGGCCGCCTCGCAAGGGGGCAGAAAAGAAAAAGAGAGAGAGAGAGAGGAAAGGGTGTTGCTTGACCTCGTACGGGCAAATGTTTCTACGTGCTGCAAGAGTGAGTGATTTGATTGCATCCACACCTCAGTGTGCTCATGAAGCTCCATTATTTCGGTACTTTTTTGTTATTTTGCCTTTTTTTTCTCTTCTTTCTCTCGCTGTACCCGTTTTCCTGGCAAAGAAGCCAACCAGTGAAGAAAGAGTGAGGGATGGAGGAGCAGGTCAAGCCGGTCTCGAGGATCAAGCGACATGACCGCGGCGCCGCCGCCGGCGACAAAAGTAAACCGGTGCCGCAAGTGGAGGCTAAGCAGGATGACGTCAAGCAGGAGGAAGCCAAGCAGGAGGAAGTCAAACAGCCGAAGAAGTTGATTTCTCGTCCGAAGGCGCCAATGGCAGTCGTAGCTGCCCCGGAAGCGACACTCTTGACGCACAAGGATCCTGTCACAATGGGCCCTGTAGCACCTGCTGGCCCCGCTCCACCATCAGCGGCGGCAGCAACGACACTGGCAATGGGAGATGCGTCGGCTGCAACGCACGTCGCTGGGACTGTGGAGGATATTTTTGAGATTGCATACGACAACTACACCTCAGAGGATTTGCATGCACTGCTGAAGCGCGTGACACGTCAGGAGGTGGAGAAGCGCATGTTGGAGCACGAGCAGCTGCGGCAGAAGCGGCAGAAGGTTCCACAGGTGGAGCGCTTCCTAGACGTTACCTCAAAGGTGGGTAGCAGCAGCGGTGGCAACAAGGCCACGGAGGAGGGCTGTGGGTATAACTACAGCGTCATGCTGCGGCGCCTCTTTGTAGCGCTCAACCGCAACAAGGAGAGCAGTGCCATGTCGGAGCGCAATAAACTCCCTGAGCCAAAGCTTGAGAAGATTGGAAAGAAGAAGGTTATTATCACCAACTTTGGACGCATCTGCCAGGCCTTCAACCGCCCCGTCCAGGATGTCAAGGACTACATTGAGAAGGAGCTTTCTGTAGGTGGCAACCTGGACAGCAACGATGCCCTTATTCTCAAGTACGAGATTCAGAAGTCAACGGCGTTTGACAACATCCTCTACAAGTATCTTGACGAGTTCGTGAAGTGCAACTCGTGCCACAGAATCGACACGACACTCACGAAGGAGGGTCGACGCATGGAGCTCCGGTGCAATTGGTGCACGGCCACGCGTACTGTGCAGGCCGTTGGTTCCGCGACGTACAGCGCCCAGGTGGGCAAACGTTCGAAGGCACGGCTGCAGGCAATGACTCTCTAAGGCGCCGTTGACGGGGAACGATTTCGTGTGATTGTTAACAAACTATATAAAATGAAAAAGAAAAAAAAGGAAGGGATGAAGAGCCCTCCACCGCCGCCACTCACGGAGAAGTGAGGGTGGGGAAGAAGAAAAAAGAAAATGAAAAAAAATAGAGGCAGAATCGCTGGGAACACATACGCACGCACGCGCGGGCCTACATGTTATTGATGAAACTTGATAGCCTGCCATGTTGTTTGTGGTCCCTTCTAAGAGGAGAAAACACTGGACGAAATGAGCTGACGAGATGGAACGAGGAAGAATGAAGAAAAAAAAAGTAGGGGTATGTGGTAATTCTCCTCCTTTAGCACGGCACCCGACCCATGCTTATTTCGGCTCTTGCTGCACTTTAAATGCTCGCTCGCAATTTTTATGACTTGGCTCGATGTATCTTTACTGTGTTTTGTCCCCTCCTCTCTCTCTCTCTCTTCTCTTCTCTTCTCTCTTTTTCTCTCACATGTATATATAAACATATACATTCTGCGGCCATTGTAAAAGTGGGGTGAGGAACGGGGCGGCGAGCACACGACGAGGGAGAGGGGTGGGAAGAAAGAAGGAAGAGACAAGAAGAAGAAAAAACATAGCGAGGCGGTTGTTTTATTCTTAGTGCAACACCTGTCTATGCTGCAGCGCTCCTTCCTGCGGGGCATGTGGCTCGGCGGCACTGCCTCCATCGCGGCACTTGGCCACGACGCGCGGCCTTCTACCGGGAAATACATCAACGTTTTGCCACCCACTGACATAGCCAAGAGCATTGCCGCTGGGGCAATGCCCCCGGAGGCGAGCGTGGCCGCTGTGCAGCCAGTGCCGGGCATGCACTACAGCAAGTGGAACCGGGCCTTGCGTAGCGATGTCTACGATGAGTTATTGAAGCTCCCGTTAAGGTACAAACTTCATGCCTTTTCCAAGCTGTGTCCGCCACCCTCATCATCGTCGTCGTCGTCGTCTTCAGAGCAGCAGTATCAAAACGTAGGCGTAATTGGCAGGGAATCTGCTGTGGGTTACAACGCGCCACTTGGTCCGGCAGACCCACTTGACACAATTCCCTTTTTCGTCCATCGCAACAGCAACGGCTTCTTGCCCGGGAAGGTTTATTCGATGAACGAACGCAATCTCATGCCGGCCTTCTTCTTGCGCATTCAACAGGTGGAAGGCGACATCTTCCGATTTGAGGAAGAGCTGCTAAAGATATTCCCAACGAAGAAGATATTTGTGCGGAGTCACAGCGTCTACGTCTACAACGTGGGGATGGACGGTCGGCTGATTCTGCATCATTGGCTCCTCGGCCTGGGCTTTTGATGGCGTCGGAAGGGGCAAGGGGTCTAACTGGCGAGAGATGATATTCTTTTTTTTTAGGGAGTTCAATACACCTTTTTTGTTGTTGTTGTTATTGTTGTTGTTGCTTTTTTACTTTCGCTCTCTGTTCGGTGCGATAGAGAGCAACTGGCGACGAATCGTCACTATTCCGTTGTTTTCATTTGACGTATGTGCGTGTGCGTGCGTTCGTCTTGATTCGCTTCGCTGGTTCTCGCGCCTCCCTTTTGTTCTTTGCACAATCAGCAGCACCGCAGGAAAAGTCCTGTAGGCGCAAAAACTGCTCCAAAAAAGAGTTTGGAGGAAGAGCAGCTTTTGCGCATCGGTTTAGAGACTTGCTGCCGCCTCGGTTTCCCCGCTTAGCGTCCATGCCGCTCACCGCGCTCTTGTTTACTCTCACCGCACTGCTTCTGCAGGTGGGCATTGTGTGCCCGCTCGTGTGTGACGCGGCGCAGTTTCCGTGGCAGACGCGTCCTCCAGGAAGACCCTTCAGCACTGGCCCCATTATTTACCCGCCAGGCACAATACATTACGTGCGGCAGCCGGCGAAGAAAGCCCCGGTTCCCTTCTTTCAGCGTGCGTGGTATGTTGGGTTCCTGCTGATGGCTCTCGCTGTGATTGTTTTATACATGCTCCTTTACCTGGCTGTGCGTTTGCGGTTCCGTGTGGCCGAGCAGGAAGCCGCGAAAAGATCCCTCGCTGGAATAAATAGTGATCAGGAAGAAAACCCTTTTTCTGATCACTCCAGCGGGGAAGACAAGGAGTCTGAATGAGAGGAGGAGAGCAGCGGGGGGAGGCGGGAAAAGCAAAACCCTTGCTGCCTAGGAGCTTTTTCCATACTTCTCTCGCTCTTCTTCTCTGACAATCTGCATCTAACTCGGTACGCAAATGCGTACGTATATCCGCAACTTTTCTCCCTACTCCTTCCAGACTGTATAAGAGGACAAACATTCGTGCGCTTGTTTGTTTTTCTCTTTGTCATTCTTCTGTTTATATATCTCCTGCGCGTATACTGTGGGCCTCTGTTGAGGGGAGAGGAGGGGGTGGCGGTGAAGCATTTCGCTGAGCAAGACGAGGGCGGCGCGAGGTCCGGGGCACCGGTGGGTGTTGGTGGGCAGAGGCAGAGGCACCGCTTTGTCCCCCCAGCCCCCGCGCGCGCCAGTTTTCTTCTCACGGCTTCATAAAGATCCCCCTTCTCCGTGTTTTTTTTTGTCTTTACTATTAATAGCATGAGTATTATTCTTTGTACTACCTCTTTGTTCATCTGTACTAATATATATATATATATAGCACAGAAGCGGCAGGACGAGTTCCGATGCCTGCGTGCATGTGTAAATGACGTCTTGTATAAGTTCGGCAACGCCGGTGAGGCATACAGCAGGGGGGGAAAAAAGTGGTGGAGGTAAGAGTCGGCGGCAAACGTTAAGATGAAGTGCCGACCGTATTTCACCCTTTTACCACCCTTTTACTTTTTCATTTTACTCCCTCTGAGTCTGCCTTGTGGCGCTGATAAAAATGAGGAGGAGGAGGAGGGTGCATGCTTCTTGGTTTTTACCCCCTCGCTTGTTTTATTTTGTTCTCTGTGTGTTTTTATTCGTATTCCTCCTTTTTTTTGTGTTGCCTTTGTTGCTCTATTTCTGGCTGACACAGAAAAGGGAAGGAGTTTAGCGGTTGAGAACTGATAAGAAAAAAAGCGTCCACATCATGCTCTCGTTTACATATGCCGCGTTTCTGTTCATCACGCTAAGCATCTACGCGATGACCATTGCGTTTTGCCTCTGGCGTCTGTCAGCGGGACGCCGGGGCGCCAAAGAAGCCGCGCCTGACATCAGCGACAGTGACACTGACTAGAAGAGGCCTGTATGTGTGTGTGGGTTGTGGGGGTCCCTTGCCTTTTTTAAAAAAATCCTCGCTGTTTGTCTGCTGCTTTGTTTCCTGCAGACAGTGTCGAGGTCCGGGGCACCGGTGGCTGTGGGCCGCTTGCCCCGCATCTTCTCGGCGGTGCTGAGAGAAGTAGCGCGGGAGAAGCAAAGATGCGGAAGGAATGAATGCATACCGACTACTGGTTTCATTAGTTATATGGCTACACGGGTCTTGGGTGACGGGACACACGTACTACGCTTTGGATGGGAATGGAGGAGAAAGACACACTTCGGATGTAATAAAAAAAAAAGAGATATATATATTATCTCGTCCTTCGTTTGTACACATTCTTTGTCTTACTCACATTCCACATCGAAGCTTCTCTACATGTTTTATTGTGAGTTACTCTGAATTTGTTTTCCGCTGACTGTGTTGCCTTGCGTTTTTGTTTGTTTTTGCCTTCCCTGCGGGCCGTAATGAGCTCCGTCAGCGTGTTGAACCGCCCTCTCGTCAAGGCTGGAACTCCCTCTTTTTCTCTCTTCGCATACTAGGTGAAAGACGACGCGCATGCCGTGAGTGCAAGTGATACTGTTTAGTCTTTGCCGGATGTTTCGCGGCTGTACGCATGACGTCCCCGTGTGGGGGAGAAGCGGAGGAGGAGGGGGATGCAGGGCGTGCGCCGTGCGTGCAGCCCCCGCCCCGTAATGTGTAACGGGTATTGGCCAGAGGAATCGGGACCAGTGGAGATGTCAATGATGCGCCACGGCAGATAGGGCCGTACGTGTATGCTTACGTGTGCGTGTGTATATGTGTGTGTAACTCCATTCTGCCCCACGATCGCCTTCCTCTCTCGCTTTTCTTCGCTCTTTCTCCCCCACGACATATGTACGTTTCTGTTTATTCCCTCCTCTCGCTGCTTCTGCGGGCAATGCCGTGACGATTCTGCCTCTGTGTGCTGGTTTGACGCTGGTGCTCGTACGCCACCGGCTGGCGGTGGCGGCGAGGGCATTTTTCTGACGCCGATTTGCTCCTTGGCGCCTGTCAACGTGCCTACCCTCCCTCTTTCTCTCACACTGCCTCACTTTGTTTGGCGCAGCAAAGCCGCATAAGTCACACTAAGGCCGGGACTTGGCAGGAGTAAACCCTGCAGAAGAAAACCTAAAATAGATAAAATAAAAATAAAGGAGCAACTGGAAGAGTTGGGCGACGGTGGAAAATATCAAAAAGAAATTTTTAAAAAAGGGGGAGGGGGGACGTTTCCGCAAAAACTCTGCAGGAAGTTATTCTCGTGATAATCCGGCAGCTGAGTGGTTATCGTGGCTGGGGCCGATTGTCTTCGTGGGTGTGTGGTAACTGAAGAGTTGTGAGTGTGCGTGTTGACAGCGAGAGAGAAAAAAAGCACGAGTGAAGAGTTGTGTGCGTGTGTGTGTGTTACCGGGGGTTTAAAAGTGTGCATCCCAAGCAACGAGACGCGCGCACTATAACGAAGAGCAGACACTGACGGGCGTGATGGGGGCTGTTCCGAGCCGTGAGTTCCACGAGAGCCCAGTGGCCCTCGTTTTTACCCGCAGTGGTACGACGCTGCAGATGGCACGACTTCCGCTCACGCCGCACTTCTTTCCGTCGGCGGACTGTTTGGCGTTCCGACAGCTGTGCGATTGTCGCGGCTCGCAGTCGATGAAGTACGGGTTTGCGCTGAACGAGGGTCCATCCCATGAGCGCCACTGGCGTGCAGGTGGCATGAGGCGGGGGGGCGTGTGCAACCTGCAGGCCAGTGATGCCTGGGATGAGCTGTGCGAAGAAGAGCTGGAGCCTGACCCGTCCGCGCCGTATCAACGAGACATGATGGAGTTTCTGCTACCCACAGACGAAGCGGCAAACTTTTTCGTCTCGCGTGAGGGGAGGAATGCGAAAGAAAACTTTGCCATGACGGGAAATGCATGCCGTGATGGCGAAAGCCAGGTGACGACGGAGGATTTGTATAGACTGTTGGTGACCGAAGGGACCGTCCCTGCCCTTACCGACACCAACGCGGAAATGCAGGAACTTTATCGGACGGAGCTCGCATGGCGCAAGGCCAGAGCGGTGATTTGTCATTATCGTCAAAGTCAATGCGAGGGCAATGAGGAGGAAGAGGCCAAGGTTCGTCTGGCGGAGCAGGTGCCGCCACCGCGTCGTTTTTTAAGGGCGCTTCCAACGGCTGTGGTGGCCGTCGTGGACTCCGACGAGGCGATGAGGAAGGCCCCAAGAAAGTGTGCTATTCCGTGCGATGGCATTTTGCACCTAATGGAAAACGACGGCATGCTCTTTCTTGCGTCTCGGCGAAGTGACGGTTACATTGTGCCGCCAACGCCAATCCGTGTTGTTGGGTGTAACTCGCTGCTTCCTGCGATGTGCCGCGGCACATCATGGTTGCGCGGGTATGACGCAACGCCGGTGGCAGAGGGGGAGGAAGACGCATACATCGAGAGCCTTCCCCTGTCGCGGCGCCCACCCGTGCTCTGCGCCTGTCACTTTTGTGAGGCCGCCGTCTCCGAAAAAGCCTTTGGTCGCGGATTACTTGAGGGTTTGGGCTACTACGCGCTGCATTCCAGAATGGCGGGGATGGAGGATCTTGTCGCACGGCCAGTGTGGCACCTGGGACTCGCGTCGCACGCCTCGCTCCTTCATTTTGTCGCCGAAATACGGCAACTGGTGTCGATGGCGACGTTCCCGGCGGGTGTTCGGGTGAGCGTCCGCGGGAGTCGGTTGCTGCTCCGGATGCAGGAGAGGGCTCTTCGGGCCGTGTGCCAACTCTTGTGCCCCTGCACCGACAGCTTTGCCCCACAGCCGTGGGGTCAGCATGTGTGGAAGCAAAATGTAATTAACGCCGCCCTGTACGACTACGGCGGACGCATTGGTGTTCATCCAACAACGGGCGAATTGTGCGTTCCACAGCGCATTCACGATGTCGTCTTGCACCAGACAGAGAAGGAGGCTGACGACACACGCGACGGCTCGATGCAGCTGGTATTCATTGTCGTTAACCCCTGGCAAAACGCAACGTCCCCTTCCGCGCTGATGAGAAGAAAAGATACTCCTGAAGAAGAAGACGAGGCATCGGCCGAAGTTTTTTACGACGGCGATCTTCTTGTGCATGATCATGTGCGCCATCGATGGAGGCGGCTGCTGCAGCCGGACGTGAGCCTCGAGACGGTGCTGCTTTGCTGGGTGAAGAAGCTTCTTGCGGCGGCCACGTTTAGGCACAGCGACAAGGGATGGCTCCGGGATGTCGAGGGTCGCATTGTTCAAGAAGGACGTTTTCACATCTGGTGCACGATGCATGATGGTCTGCCGTACTTTTTTGGGGTTATTCCTAAATTCGCGAAGGAGCGCCGCCGGAGGATGTTGCGACAAGCGCGCGGGAAGTTCCTCAGGGACGAGGAGTCTCAACACCGTCCCGAAGTAAAAGGGGAGGAGCAAGACGACGTGACGCCTGCGCAAGACCACCAAGCCCGCCGCCGCTGCGCACACCCCCTCCCAGCCCACTCTAAGAGGCATGGCGATGCGGCAAACTATTTCCGCAATGGCTGTTTCACCTGGAACCCATACGGCAGCTGTAGGTAGACGGCCGCTTCTAGCCATGCATCTTTGTTTTGCTTTTCCACCGCATTCCTTTCTTCTTCTTCCTTTCGCTAGCACCTGTCATTTCTATTTCAGCGGGGAGCTCTTAAAGTAAAGTGCTTTATCGGTCTGCCCATAGTGGCTTCCATCATTTTGGTGGGTGTTTTGTTTATCTTCCACTAAAAAAAAAAGGAAGGGCTTTTTGCGCTGCATCTCTTCCCCTCCCCGCACCAACACGAAGCAACGGTCAATTCCAAACACAATAAAAAATTTACTGAGAGTTATTCACTCCATACACATGAATGATACACGCCTCTAACGGCGTTAGTAATATGTGCCCGCCGGGTTCCTTTTTATTGTTATTACTTTGGACTGTACAGGGAATTCGCTACGGTGCGTT